CAGATTTAATGGATTATTAAATTAAATTGTTCTAATTCTTTTAAAAGTAATACTATAAACTAATAATAAATATTTAACGTTGTACAATGAAATTATAGATTAGTGTGCGATGTACATAGTAAATCACATGTTYCTGGACCATGTGTTAAAACAATTTTAATACCACTGAAATCGTTGTATTATGGTAGACATAAATACAAGACAACAAACAATATATAATTGTTAGTTAAATAAAAATTTGTATTTTCATTTGCGTATTATGGTGGTATCGCAAACAAAAGGTCACGAATAGAGTGGACGTTTTAGAATACATATATTATTAACCTAGATATTTTCACCAACCCGATTTTTTTTACAGATTTATAAAAACCATTTTAATATTTAATGAAAAATTAGTTTTTGTATCATTATGTTATTATTATTATTATTATTATTATTATTGTTATTATTTGTTTTTAAATCGTTACAGGAGAAATATGACAATAACTGGTGGATAGGCCGACTGGTGAAAGAGGGCTCTGATGTGGGTTTTATACCATCCCCCGCCAAACTCGAACTCCTGCGTCAGATGAACCCGTCACGAAGCTCAAAAAATCATTCTTCCAAAAACTCGTCATCGTCAAACTTAGGTGGTGTAATAAATTACTTGATGTCTATCATTAAAAATAAGGGCGGGGTTGACTACAGGGTTCACCGATAATATCCTAAATTGTGAAAAATAACCACAATACTATTATGATTTCAATTTGATTTCGTAACCTATAATATGAGTGTTATGTGTATTTAAGAACAGACAGAATAATATTTGAGGTTCATTCCATTTATTTGCATTTAAGAATTTTTAGATGAGCGACAATTTTATTGGCTTTACAATGATTTGTGTTTTTTTATTACAAAAATGTACCTCAATCTTCAACTTTTATTATGTTATCACCTATCTGCTAYCAAATACTTTATTAAGTTGGTACTATTAAAGTTAAAAGTTGAAAATTTCATAAATAACAATAAACAGCGAAGTACAGAAATGTTTACGTAGGTAACCCAAGTTTTTGACAAAATCAATTTAGTTTTTTTTTTAAAAGGTACATTTTCATTTACTAAAATAAAAATTTTTCTTAGTAAAACAAATTACAACATTCAGGTACTTACCTATAACAATTTATTATTTTTTTATTAAACATTCATCATTTTAAAAAATGTAAATGTTTTTGAAAAAAAAATTTACATGGCTCTAATCATTAGAAAACCAACTATTGAAAAATATATATTACAAATATTTTTATTGTTTCTATCCCCATCATTTTAATAAGTATTTACTTTTTTAAATAAAAGCATACAGTTTTAAATTCATATTCCAAATCAGAACATTTTTCTAAGGATTTCGTTACATAAAAATCAAATTTAGGACGAGTAGCTAATGGMTTATAAGTTATAAGTACCTATTTAAAGTTTAGATGAGGAAAATAGTGTGCTAATATTTTATGAGGTAGCCGCGTATCGCTTTACTAATCTAAACTTTAAATACTCATATATCTCATAAACTAATCGTCCTAAATTTTATGCATTAGAAAACTAAGAAATGTATTTTGGTTTTGGATATAAAATTAAAGCTGTAGTTTGCCTTTCAAAAAATTAAAAACTTTTAATATGAGGATAAAAAATATTCGAAAACATGGTTTTAATTAAAGACATCGTCTAAGATTTTTTTTGCAAAACAATTGTTTTTGAAATAATGAGTGTTCAATGATAAAAKAATTGCCTATATTTATAGTATACCTTCAAAATTGCAAATGTATAAAAAAAAAATTAATATCGAGTATCAACTGTAGTCTATACAAGTAATATATTGTAAATGCTAATTTGTAATAATATTATTATACCTATATTATGTTCTGTGGGTAGATCTGATATCTACTATCGATAACACATGGATAATAAATCATTGTTTAAGCTTAAGAAAATAATTTCTTCAAAAAACGTTTASTGAATAATTATGTTGATTAGATAACTAATGRATGATTTAATACATTAATTAAAATACAAATTTTTTAAGGGGCTAAGTTCCTAGTTGCACCTATGGTTATACATACATTTTAGAAATAAATGCCAAATTGGTTTAGCTATTAATCGATTAATTAGTACATAACACATTGGCTTAATCATAATTATGAATAATATATTTTATCTCCAAAGAATTTCAAATGTATTAAGATCGTAGGTATGATAAAATTAAAATAGATTTTATCATATTATGTATTAACTCCAGAATAAAACTTATAGCTTTCATAAATATAAGTTAAGTTAAAAGTAAAATAAATATCAAACCCGTCTATAATAATCCCACTTCAAAGTTTTAAGATACAGATTAACAAAAATTTCCGAAACCAAAATAAAAAACGAATTTCCCTCGCAAAATGGCAATATAATTATCAGTAAGTACTTAAAAGTAAACGAATAAAATACGGATCATTCTCGTATTGCAGATTAGTTGAGTTTAATTCCTATTTACTTATACTCAGAGTTTAATTATAATATTAAACTTCAAACTGTTCAGTCGATACCCGTCCTACTATACACCGGATTTGAATATTAAACGTTTAGTTGAAGTGCCTACTGGTATTTACATCGAAATTGAAACGTATCCGTTGCAATGTATTCCGTCAAAAAAGTTTAATTTAAAAGAGACATACCGAGATAACTCGCTTTTGCAGTATACAGTTGTTTCGTTGTGTTTCGAGTTTACCTCATTATTGACATTGGTAGTTCACTGTAATAATGAATTTATTAGATTTTAATTTAAATATAAATCATTTGTATATTATGAAAAGCTCTATTCTGAGTGGAGACGGTGTGCCTCTAATCTATATGCCTAAGTAATAATCAAATTTCTGTATTGTGTACATGCATCTACAAAGTACAAACAGATACGCCACTATTTTATTTATATTATAAATTATAGGTTTTACTTTTTAATTTTTGTAATATACACTGACACAGCAGTATATTATATTATAGGTATTACTAATCGACTTAAGTATTTAACTTTATTTCATTTTTGATCTTTCTAGTTTGTATTTATTYGAATTATCTTAGATTATTCTGAGCGGACAATACAACTGACTGACTACAATGATGTATGTTTTTTTTTTGTGTGTGTGTGTGTGTGTGTACCTACACGATAAGT